GAACCCGCCATGGCGCGAGCGCAACTGGCTTTTAAAGGGGATGGGAGATGAGACTCTGATTGGTTTATTGCATGTTACGCCCAAAAAACACCCATTACTCATTAAGAGAATAGGGACAACCCATTTAGACCATGCGCCCGGGCGCACCGACCATTTTCCCGTCGTTAAACTAGCAAAAGTGGATTCGGACACTCCCTGAGTGCACCTGCGCCGTGCGCTTTAGGCCATGTGCTTAGATCGTTAAAATAGAGCCCTATGTGTGTATTTCTAGCATTTTACAGTTTATTTTATTATTTGTTCCCTTAAATAATATTTGGTAACACTTTAGTTTAGGGACCAATTCTCACTATTAACTAGTTGCTTATTAGCGGAGGCGGGGCAAGCATTGTGAGCTTTTGTTTACAGTAGCAAGTTGAAATGCCAACTGTTTTGTTTGACGGCAACATGGCAGAGGAGGCATTCTGCGCTGTGCTCTTTAAAAAAACATTCCTGAGCTCTGCATCTTGCGTTTTTAGACACATTCTGTGTGAACGGCCCCTTATTCTGCATGAGCATATTTTAGATCCTTTAACCCTACCCCATACCAAAACTTAACAAATACCTTACTAACAATTAATAAAAAGCAAATTAGGAGTTTATTGAGGGAAAGGCCATTATTAATAGTTAGTGATCCCCAAACTAAAGTGTGACCGAACCTTTCAGTAAACAGTTCTGAAAAGAAGCATTTTTTCTTAGTGTGAGGAAATTGTAATAATATAAAGAACCTTTAGTGCAGTGGAAAGATTCCATGGATGTTAAAGGTTCTTCATGTTTACCTCACAGAATATTCAGGGGTGGGGGTGACATTTCATAATTTGAGAAACTTGACAAGCCGACATCTTTCTGGCAGAACTTTACAATGCATTTGCCCTGGAGGTTGGAGGGTGGTCTGTGGTTAATGTCAGAGAGGAAGTTGTTCATATGATGTGAGCTTTCAGGGATTACACCACTGTTGCTCTTGTCTACGTGACTCCCTGTGAAAGGAATCAATTAGTCACATTTACTTGATGACAATGGGATCAGATCCAGAGCAATCCACGGCCGATGAACAATGCTCGCAAACATTCCCTCAGCGATTCCCCGGGTGATTCCTATGAAATGTTTGAGCATCTGTCATCCAGGCCTGGAGAGATTGCTGACGGACCAGCAATGGCTTGCAGCTTCTTAACAGTCCCAAGAATGGTCGTGATAAACAAACGCATTAGCTCGTCTGCTGAACGGCTTGGCCGAGTTTGACAGCCTTTAAGAATCATGTATCACCATTGTCTCGCTGCCCACACTGAATGGATTACAAATCAACTCTTTAGCTCCTTAAGTAAATCAGAGCGGAGTTTAGTTGGGAATTGTCAGTGAGTGCATGCCATGATTGCAAAGAGGACGACGTCTCTGCAGAATTGCTAATAGTGCTGTAAAAGGAGAATTTGTGTTTTGGACCAGATTGTTCAACTTGGGGCAGAGAAAGAGCTGGGAAAGGCAAGAGATGGTCGGACAGCAGGCGTCCCAAGAAGAGCAAATCATTTTCACAGAAGCAGAGCTCAGCTAAGCACCTAATCTTCAATGCTCAGGGAATACAAATGATCCGGTAATTGTCTGCAACCTTGACACGGAGGAAGAAGGTCACGATGTTGGGCCGGGTGTTCGTGTCTGCCGTTGCTTTATGGATGTGCTGTAAATAATTAGTAAACCAATTGACACAGGCTGCGATCTTAAGGGGAGGCACGTATTTTTTTGCCCTGTTGATCAGATTTTATTATTACTGTTAGCCATACTCATTGAAAACCCATAACACGGAGAATTAAAGGTCAGTGTGTGTTATTGTGCAGAAATCAAAAAGCACCGTGTATGTGTTTTTCTTAAAATAAAGTTAACTTTGGCTGCATGTGATGTTACTTATCAGAGCTGTTGAAATTGGAGAGTCACACCTGAGTCCATTCAGCATACTTCTGAATACCAAATAATTCCAGTTAAACAAAACGCAATGCATGGATGAAGCCCATTTGCATTCTAAGTGTAGAAAATGTTTGACAGAGGAAATAAACCAAATCTCCTCCTTAAATTTTCTGATGCCATTTAAGACTTCATGTAATCACACTAAATTGAATTGAGTCTTTCAATTGCCCTCCTTATGATTTTAACACTGTATGTACTAGGAATGCCACAGTCAGGAGCAGACAACCAATAAGCGAGGTAAGTGGCCGCTTAGGGCCCCGGGGAATCAGGGGGCCCCATTTGATATTGGAAAAACATATTTGGCAAACGCTCCAGTGTGTATTTGTGTTCTGGAGAGCATCCAATGTTCACTCACCACTCAAAACGCTGAGTTTTTGTCAAGTGCTGAGTTCTGTAAGTTCGCGAATCCTCTCATTATAACAATGTGTAGGTACGATGTAAATAAGAGATTCATTGAGCAGTGCAGACAGCTTCATTAATTAACGGAACATCGTGAGATCACGATGAACTGAAGTGGATGACAGCTTTTAGTGATTATTCTCTTTCTAGGCTGTATAATCCTGTCTGACTGTCTCAGAACCGATATTTTAACCTCAGAGAAGAAAGTATCGTGTTTTGTGTCATGGTTTTATTTGTCTTGATGTTTCAAAATGACTCGCTCGTAATCTCTACCAGTCAACACATTCTACTGCCTGATGGTGCGCACCGTCGTAACGTTTAGACTTAACTGCATGTAATGTTAAGAATAGGCGACGGCGATCCAAGTTTGATGCCACTCCAGCGCTCTCAGTCAGTGGTCAGGAATTAATAGGGAATCAGCCTACCAGCTGTCGCCCAAAGAAAGTATGGACAGGCATGGACAATGCACTAGCCCAAAATCCAGCACGCGGCTCCAGCAAGAGTTTTCCCTTACTGCACTCCTGCGGCGCTGGAAAGAGCGTCCAGACCTCAGCAGCTTTTCCAGTGCCAATGGAGGAATCATCAGGGAGCGAGTTTTTAGACTTGGCTGGAGAAACTTTAACATACTATCTGGGATAGAGTGAACCAAAGTGTGTCCAAACTGCTTTACAAACATGCTGTTCTGTCTTTGTTTTACTAGTACAACTCAGGTTAATTTCATAATGTGAGATCCGAAGAGAATATTCAGAGAAAAATATGATGGGATTTGTTTTTGTTTGTTTGTTTTTATAGTGAGGTTTTTCAATTCATGAGCAAAATAAGGTTTATGGTAAATGTAATTACTGTACTTCGACTTTTTGTTCTAATTGTAAACTGCACACACTCACACCCCAAAAGTTCTCATGTAGTTACTTACTAGAAACATACATTTTTAAAAATAAACATAAACACATCAGAATTTGCATTTTCAGTGTGGGTGTGTGTAATTCACATTGTATTATCAATTTATATTTACGACAGACCTTGTTTTACTCAAAAATGTAAAATCTCCATTATAAACCCATATGAAAATTTCGAGGGAACCCACGCTGTAAAATGTGACATTTAAACATCTGTGAAATTTACAGTAAAAAAACAGCAGCTGTGGTTGCCAGAAATTTTGTAAAATAAATAAATAAATAAATACAGTAGCAACATTTTAGGTTTTACAGATTGAACACCTGTTTACTGATAATGTAAACAAATGTTTAGTATGTGGTTTATGGCCTTATTTTGTGACTTTAAAAAAATAGTTTTTTTTACTAACCACAATTAAACATCATTTTCTCAAATACATGTTGCTCACATATTATTGTAGCACAGTTTGTGCTGAATAGTGTAATCAGACTTAGCCATTAATATGTTTTTAAGAAAATTTAGAAAAAAAAACACTTCAAAGCTTTTTTTGTAAATGTAAGGTTAGATCTATTATAGTATATAGTAAGGGAACTTGCTCTTAACCAATTAACAGGTTTTTACCATAGCAATTTTACAGTCTTTTCCCATTAAAACCATAATGATTTTTTTACAGTGCATGGCAAGTTAATCTTCCAGGTTTTGATGTCATGGCTGCAGCATGCTATATGACAGGTTCATGAAACCTAAGAGGGATTGATTATGTTGTTTCACAGGCTGATGAATCACACACAAAACAATGTTGATTTGAACGTTTAGCCTTTTCTCTCTGCAGATGAGGGTCCATGCAGGAGGACGTACTGTGGCCGGGGTCGGGAGTGTGTGGTCAGGGAGGTAACGGGCCGTGCCGAGTGTGTGTGCCAGGAAAGCTGCCACACTTCGTTTGTGCCTGTGTGTGGCTCTGACGGACGTTTTTATGAGAACCACTGCGAGCTGTACCGCACCGCTTGCCTGCAGCAGAGGAGAATCTATGTGGTCCACAGCAAAGACTGCTTTTTCAAAGGTGAGATGCATGTTCCTCACTGTAGCGCTGCAAGCGCGAGTGTCCAGTGCTTGTGTTTGTTGTGCGTACTGTCGGTCAATACATCTGCTGCTTCTCCAAAGATATTTTTATGGGGGATGTTCTGAGCTCAGTCCACCTTAATTTACAATGTGGAAGTAAGATATTCTCTCTGAATGTACATAACTTCTGATTCATTAGCCGCTATACTGTAGTCAACATTTGAAGTGGATCAAAGCCTTTCATCAAAGTTGTCCTAAAACCAAAACAATAGCCGTTCTTGTCTTAGGACAACTTTGTTAAACTTTTTTGATCCACTTCAAATGTTGACTACTGTAGATAACTAGAAGAATAAAAAAGTGCGGTAAACAGTAAAACTATTTGCGCTACAAACCAGTGTGTTTATATTTACAATACCAGTTTGCAATATTAAGCAATAGAAGTGTTGCTGTTGTTGTTGTAATAAATACAAAATATGTAATATTTTCATTATTGTAATTTGAAGATAAAATTTAACTTTTTTTTTAAGATGACTGAAATTTCAGATAAAGGTGAAATTACAGTATTGATAAAAGTGTTGAAACAATTTGTTCATTTCAGTGCTGTTGTAATCATAATGTCAAAAACAGAAGTAAAACAATAAATAAATATCGGTTCTGCATATTGTTTATCAGGCAAATAAACATGCAAATATGTGACCCTGGATCACAAAACCAGTCATAAGGGTACATTTTTTGAAATTGAGATTTATACACCATCTCATAAATAAACTTTCCATTGATGTAAGGTTTGTTATGATAGGACAATATTTGGCTGAGATACAACTATTTGAAAAATCTGGAATCTG